TAAACGAATAATCCGATACAAGTACCAAAAAGTATTGGCCTCTAGGGCTTACACCAACAGTCCCAACAAAACCCTCCTCCACAACTCAACACACAAAGACCAAACACACCACAGCAACCTCGTCATAGACCTCGTCGCAACGCGCATCCTCCACAATGTGGCACCGGTGGTCGCTTGGATAGAGCCGACCATTAGCTTTTATTTTGTTCAATTGTAATTTTCATTATATTGCACCATTAATATATTTTAATATTTATTACATGTCTATATTTTTTAATGTTATTTAAATTTCAATTAATTATGAAAAACATAAACTATAATTTAATATTTATTTCATTTCTTTTTTTTATTAAAAACATTTTAATTAATTATGAAAAACAAAAAACATAATTTAATATTTATTCCATTTCTTTTTTTTTTTTAACATTATTTAAAATTCAATTAATTATGAAAACTAAAAAACATAATTTATATTTCATACAATCGGTGGGTTTCGATTCCATGAACTTTATATATATTGCACAACAATTGTTTATTCTAACTATTGTGATATATAGCGCGATAACTAGTTTATCGCAACGGTCACACGCCCGTGATAGAATACTACATACTTACAACCACACCCTACCTCACAACAATTAATCAATTGAGATGGTATCCATTTTCTAAACTTTGTGAAATGAGCTTTCCATAGTAGTGTTAGTTTGCTAACCCAACCATTGGAAATCAACCTGGCCTTTCACCTTAGATAAAAATCACTCCCAAGTCAATGTTTTGATCTGACCTACAATGTCCCTCACACCATAAAACTCACCTTTGAACAAAATAGTGTTCCTAGAGATCCATATGTTCCAACACACAATAATCCAAAAGAAACAATTGCGCCCCTCATTGAATTTGTGTTAAGCAACCAGCAAAAATGTCTTTGATGTGATGTAACTCATGTTTTCTCATTAACCTCCAAACCTACATATTGGCTGAGCAAACTATAAACAAGTTAAGCACATCTTCTTCAGCTGCAAATCAAAAAAGGACACACTATATTATAGTTACCACGAAAATTCCACTTCTTACTAGAGCAAGCCTAGTTGGAATCCTATTAAGTAAGAGTTTTCATCCAAATAAAAGGACTTTGTGTGGTACTTTCAATCTCCATAAAGTGTCATGTCCTCTCAAAATGTCAGATCAAAATAAGTTCTTGAGTTGCATAACTCAATAAGTCTAACATAACTACTTCTAATAGAAAAATAATGAGAATTCTTCCACTAGACAAAATCATCTTCAAGTTCAAGATTATGATGGACCATTTGTAGAATCTCTACCAGTTCATCCAAATGTTTTCTTTCTTTTTTATTGAGGTTCTCTTTGTCCAAATCAATGATCAATATCCAAGTATTTTTGAGCCAACAACCCATGTCAACAACTTTGATATTTGGAAATTGTGAAATCAAAAAAATATTGAATGTTTAGAGGTATAGAACCTATCTAATGATACTTCCAAAAACCAATATTTTTGCAATTGCCTAGCTTACAATTAATGGACCTATTAAACCAGTTTTGATCCTCCACATAACATAAGCATACCAATATCAAGTCCCTCCACCATAAAGAGTCTCTAATACCTCTTAAAGGAGCTGTAACATCAAGAATATTCTCCTTAATGTCTCCATGCTCGTAAGACAATAAGGAAACCCATATGAAGTCATGTTCATTCAAAATTCGTCAATATTACTTGCTTAGTAAAGTAAGATTGAATCTCTCGTAATGCTTAACTCCAAGTTCTCCATGTTTCTTAGCCTTGCAGACATTAGCCCTGCTGATCCAATGAATCTTCTTCTCTAATTCTTCACCTATTCATAAGAAAGCACGTTGGATTTTCATAATCTCTTGCAGGATCACCTTAGGCATTTTGGAAAAGGAGAAGTAGTAAATAGGCATGTTGGTAAGCATAACATTCATCATCACAACTCTTCGACCTAGTGACATTTGTTTGTCTTGCTATGAAGATAATCTTCTATGCAACTAAGCCTATATGGAATTCCAAGTCGCTCTTCTTATTGGATTGACCCCCACAGGTATCCCAAGAAACACAAAAGGAATGATACCAATCTTGCAAGATAAGAAGTTTATGCACTTTGCATAAATTCTTCCTTCACATTGATTCCATAGATTTTGTTATTGTTTAGATTCACACATAACCCTAAAGTCAATTCGAAGCCCCTAAAAATAACTTTTAAACTCCACAAATTATTCCAAGATCCATCACAAATAACATCCAATACTTTGTAGAATCCAAAAGTGAAATTAGTATCGATCTCCTTGCCAAACCACTAAAATTGACATTACCCGGGTTAGTGACCATACTTCCATCAACATTAAGGTCTCTAAATTTTCATTTCCTTGTTGACAAGAAACCATTCGAGTTTGTCTTGGAAATCCTTGATGGTCCTTTTCCCATAAGCTTATTCAAAAATATGTAAATGAACAAATATAAAAATCATAATCAAGTTCCCATTCGAGGAGTTTATCTTTAAAAATAACTTATTTCTAAAACACCAAATATGCCACACAATAGATTAGTATTTCAAACCTTTATCACAATTTCTATATTATAAGAGAAAAATATTATCTTCACGTACAATATGCACGAGCATTATACCACAAACCATCCTCACTAGAGTTGTAAATTTAGAGGATCGGGGCTAACTTTTAAGGCCCCCGAAAATATAGGGGTCCAAAAATTTTAAAATAAATGAACTCCAAAATAAATAGGTCCTCTAAACTAAAACCTTTAAGATTTAAGTAGGGCTCAAAACCCTCAAACTTTTCAGAAATTGACTTTTTGAAAAAAAAAAATTAATTTTTAATTTTATTTTGAAAAAAAAAAGGAAATTTTTTTTTTTGGAAAAAATTAACTTTTTTTTTGTTTTTGAAAAAATTTGATTTGTTTTATTTTAAATATATATATATATATATATATATATATATATATATATATATATATATATATATATATATATATATATATATATATATATATATATATATATATATATATATATATATATATATATATATATATATATATATTGGAAAAAATTGAGTATTTTTTTTCGAAAAAAACTAGTTTTTTCCGTGAAAAACAACTTTTTATTTTTGGAAAAAGTTGACTTTTTTTTTAAGAAAATAAGCTTATCTTTTTAAAAAAATTGATTTTTTATTAATGAAAAAAATTTGAATTTTTTTATTTTTGAAAAAAATTTGAATTTTTTTATTTTTAAAAAATTGAAAGTTTTTTTTTATTTTCAGAAAATATCGACAATTTTTCATTTTTGAAAAAAAATCAATATTTTTTATTTTCAGAAAAAATTGATTTTTTTTAATTTCAAAATTTTTTAATTTTTTTAAATTTAAAATAATAACTTTTTTTTTGAAAAAATGATTTTTTTATTTTAGGTAAAAATACAAAAATTAACTTTATTATTCAATAGAAATTTTGTTTTTTAAAATTTTCAAAAATATTTATTTTATAAAAAATGAATATTTTTAAAAATTAAATATTTATTTTTAAAGAAATTAGATTTTGAGTCAATATTTAGGTCTCAAAAATAGAAATATGGGGGGATTAGAAATAAAGGATAAAAAATATTAATTTAATAGGTATCTAAATATTAAAACAAACTTTTCTGACATTACTAACCCTTGTTAGACGAAAAATGGATTACTATCACGTGCAAAACATGTGTATTCATCGCATCCATTACAAAATTAAGATTTGAACATTAATTATTATTAGGGTTGGACAATCGGTTATTTTCAATCAGTTTCGGACTTAAAATTTCAATTCGATCTAAATCACAATTTCATTTTTATGGGTCACTTTCGATTGATAGAATTTTGATTTTCGTCAGATTCGATTAAGTCGGTTTAACGGTTAAATTAGATCGATTTAATATTTATTAGAGCAAATCTATACAAATTGTTTTTTCTTTAATTTTTTATAAAAAATATTAAAATTTTAAAATAGAACTTTCTTTTTATTATTAAAAAAATATTATTACAAAATAATATTTTTAATATTATTCAACATTAATTTTGATCATTATCATATTTTAAACCATAAATTAAATCATACTCAAAATTTTATATCGCATGTCTTTTACTTTTGTGAGTATATAATATTATCCTTAAATTATAAAAATGATAATGCCCTATAATATTATGAATCTTATTTCTATAATGAGTTAGTCATATACTAATAAAAATAAATAAAATATATATATTGATTAAGTTCGGTCGATTTCGATTTTTGTTGAATACAAAATAAATATCTGAATTCGACCGAAACAACCCTGTACTATTCAAATTAAACAATCGAATCAATCCGACACTGGACCCGATCTATTTGCACAAAAAATACAATGGATCAGTCGATTTTAATCCGTCGGTTTAAATTTGTCCACCCCAACTCGAAAAAAAAAAAATTTTGAATCTCACTTCAACCACTAATTGAATCAAGCTGTCAGTCATAACCTCGCCTAGTGGAAAAGATTCTATTCACACTGTTCTTCTAAATCACTGATGATAACTGCATAGAAAATGCATAATCCATATTCCATCAAAATTTAAAACTGCAGATATCTTACATTTAAACTTTCAATGCATAATTTGAGCATGAAACAAACAAAATACTATGCTATAAAGTACTCAAACTCAACCAACCAATTATGCAAACATATTAAACTCTTGAAGAAGAATGAAGGAGAATCCTTTCGTATTTAGTTTGCTTTGTAAGCTAAACAAATGAAATATAAAACAACTGCAATTGAATCAAAGAGTCATCCATCATAGTTTCAACAAGTTGTTGCATGGTTAATATATCAAAATGACAGTAACAATTTAAGAAACATGTGGACTCTAAACTTAAAAAACCATACTTAACAGTAGGATAATGGCAGGTAAGCGGAAAGAAAATAATAGTAAAACTTAATATATAAAAACTAAATAGTCTTGGCTATAATGTGTTTCATCTTGCTCTCAAGCCCTTCAAGGTGATCTTCCAGAACTTCTATTTCAACCTGCTTGTTATTCTCGTCAACGAGGTTTTTAGCCACTGCAATTGCATCTTCAATCTGCTTGATTTCTTGTGAGGACAGCTTCAAATTAATATCCTTTTTCTTTAAAGTATTCATCATTTTGTAAATGTAGTCATCCAATGCATTCACTGCTTTGGCCTTCCTTAGAAATTTCTTGTCTTCAATATGGAAATTCTCAGCTTCTTTAATCAATTTTTTAATTTCTTCAGCTGACATCCTTTCTTTGTAGTTGGTTATTGTAATCTCATTTGAATTTCCAGAAGCATTATTAATAGCAGAAACTGTCAGAATGCCATTTTCATCTATAGCAAAAGAGACATTTGACATAAGGGTGTCACGAGGAGCTGGGGGAATGCCAGAAAGAGTAAAAGAACCAAGCAAATTGTTTTCACTGGCTTTTGTTCTCTCACCCTCATAAACCTCAATAAAAAAATTCTTTTGGTTATCTATGGCTGCATAATATGATCTTGTCTTTATGACAGGAATGCAAGTGTTCTTAGGAATCACCACACTCATGATATCTCCTAATAAATATATACCAAGAGACAAAGGTGTAACATCCTGCAGCACCAACTTTGGAACATTCTTAACATCTTCACTCAATAAAGCTGCCTGAACAGCTGCCCCATAAGCCACAGCCTCATCAGGATTAATGCTTTTGCACAACTCCTTCCCGTTGAACAAGTCCTGTAATAGCTGCTGTATTTTAGGAATCCTAGAAGATCCACCAACAAGTACAACATCATCTATCATGCTCTTGTCCATCTTAGCATCCATTACACAACTTTCAACAATCTTCATACACTCATTGAAAAGGTCCATATTCATTTCCTCGAACTTGGCTCTATTGATAGATGAAGAAAAATCAATGCCTTGAAATAAAGAATCTACTTCAATAGTTGCAACTACAAGAAAAGAAAGTGATCTTTTTGCCCTCTCACAAGCAGTTCTCAACCTCCTCAATGCTTTGGGATTTCCACTAATATCCACTTTGTTCTTTTTCTTGAACTCTTGTACAAAGTAGTTCACCATTCTGTTATCAAAGTCTTCTCCACCAAGGTGAGTGTTTCCAGCTGTTGCCTTTACTTTGAACACATCACCCTTAATAGTTAGTAGAGACACGTCAAACGTGCCACCCCCAAGATCAAACACAAAAATATTTCTTTCTCCATCATAATCAGTCCTCTTGTCAAGACCATATGCAACAGCTGCAGCAGTAGGTTCATTCATTACCCTCATAACGTCGAGGCCAGCAATAGACCCAGCATCTATGGTGGCTTTTCGCTGAGAATCACTGAAATATGCCGGCACAGTAACAACAGCATTCTTAACAGGAGACTGTAAATATGCCTCAGCAATCTCTCGCATTTTGGTGAGTACCATAGACGATACTTCTTCAGCACATAATTGTTTTTCCTGGCCCTTGTACTTCACAGTAATTATCGGTTTGTCTTCGACACCAGCACTGACCTTGAATGGCCATAAAAGTATATCATCTTGAACAATAGTATCACTAAACTTCCTACCGATTAACCTCTTAACATCTGAAAAAATAAAAATATGAATAACGTTTAATTTGCTATGATGGTCCTTAGACTAATATGAAAATTCTAAATAGATCAATTTGGAACTTTAAAGGAGTAAAAGGATTAAAATTACCAAAAACAGTGTTTTCAGAGTTGGCAGCAGCTTGGTTCTTAGCGGCATCACCAACCAACCTCTGATCATCATCAGTGAAAGCAACAAAAGAAGGGGTTGTTCTATTGCCTTGATCATTGTGAATGATCTCAACTCGACAATGTTGCTCCTGCCATACTGCAACACATGAATAAGTTGTTCCAAGATCTATTCCGACGGCACGCCCTTCAAATTTTCTAGCCATAAACCTCTACAAGTAAATGAAATGAAAGAAACTAAAGAAAAACTTCAAGTAAAGATTGCCAAGAAAATCATAACATTTAACTTGACTTAAGTTGAAATAAAAAATACAAAGTAAAATGAGAATGCTTCTTTCGTTTACTCGAAATGTAACAATGTGAATTTTTTGGGTACATATATGAATAGTAAACTAACTACTATACGAGATGATTTGAAAACAGTCTATTGTGCCGATCCTTGTTTTCCAAGGGTCAATGTGAATTCGGTTTTAACTTCCAGTACAATTTGAGAGTTGTTTTTTAAGATATTGTTAAGGGCACAAATTTAAGAATATAAAAATGAGAAGTTTATAAATGAATAATATATGATTCTAAGACACAAGTTAACGTTAACTTTTTTTTTTCTTAGCCTGTTTTTGGAGTATAATTTTTTTTATTTTGATTTTGATAGCGGTTACTTATGAAAGGAATAATCAAAATGGAAGGCCTTTCAATCATGCAAATTTGATTAAGATACTAAAATTAGTTTCGAATTTAAAAAATATCAATCCAAAATTGTACAAAAATTATACTTAACTCCCTTAAACCTTTTTTATTTATTTTTAATTCTAACCACACAATTAAATATAATGGTTTGGACACCCAAGAGCACTTGTTTCAGATGAGATGATAAGAGATCTCTTCCAATTTAGTCATGGGTTCGAACCACTATGCCAAAAATGGTCTATAGCAGTGCTTTTTTTGACCTTTAGCAGCGCTTTAAAGCGCTGCCTAAAGTGGCGCTGCTAAAGGTAAAGGCAGCGCTTTTTTTTATGGAAAAAGCGCTGCTAAAGGTATCACTTTTAGCAGCGCTTTTTTACCCCTTTAGCAGCGCTTTCAAAGCGCTACCTATTCTCCCCCCCTCCCCCCTGTAGCAGCGCTTTATTAAAGCGCTTTTGTAGGCCACCCTTTAGCAGCGCTTTTTTAAAGCGCTTTCTTAGACCCCTCCTTTCCTAACCTATAGCAGCGCTTTTTTATGCCTATTTTTCTCCCTTTAGCAGCGCTTTCTTGTAAAAGCGCTGTCTATACCTCACGTTTTTAAATTTTTTTTTTTTTGAAAAATCACATTTTTTTATATTTTTAGATAAACCTGCTTATAACAATTAAATTCCCTGCTTATAATTCAGGCTTTAAACATAACTTGGTCTTTAAACATTGTAATTCAACACTTGGCCTTTAATTCAACACAATATAACTAAACATTGTACATTATACAATAACACTTTGCAATTTACACATAATTAACTCAAGTATAATTTACACATAATTTAAACATTGTACATTATACAATATACAATATACAATATACAATATACAATTTACACATAATTACAAATCCAATATACATTATAGAATTCTTAACTCAATCATAAATTGACACCATTCTTCCTTAATTTCTTCCAGTTTTACTTTCGAGTACGTAGCGCATCTGAATTCATCAAAATACTACATAATATAACAGAACAAGCACGATTTAATACTAATTACTCAGATGAAATATTAGTTAATTATCAAAATGAATCATATAACTCATGAATTGATCCATACCATGATTGGAATCTCTAATTGACCAGAAAGAATGATTTCCTTCATAAAGCGCAGTACAAAATATCCGCAGTCAATCCCACCACGCTGACGAGGACACTGTATTAGGAAAAAAGCGAACGAACATTTATCAGGATATATAGTTTAAATAGTTTTATAAGTAGAACCACTATAACAGTCAAACATGGGAAAATATACATCCACTCTGATCCAGTTGATGTTGCTAGCCCTGCTTTTTGGCACTGTTGCATCTCTCTGTGCTCTGTATATTTGTATAACTCTAACATAATATAAACACATATTTAGAACAATGTCACATAATAAATAAACATATATAATTATTCAGAACACTATACATCATCACTTACGTATCAACCATGTTCTTCAGATTTTCATATTTGTTTGTATCGCCATCCAATGAATCTATATAATACACTATTTCTTTAATCGGATTAATTGCGACCAACAACCAGTGGCCACTATAAAATAAGACAACAGTTTAGGCGGAAATGTTATATAATATGGCAAAAATCGAATAATTATAATAAATGAATTTAGAATAAAAACTAACCCATGACCAGTATTATATGGCAACATAAACAACTTCTCCGTATTCGCACCCATAAATCTCTGGACTGTGTACTCTTTGACTGCTTCTGGTGTCTGGTCTATTGTCCGTGAGTTGACACTGCTAGCAGATAAGAATGTGAATACTGAAGTCAAATCAGCGGGGACCAACATCTTGTCATACAAGCGCCTAAAAAAAATATAATCAACATTAGATTATTCAGTTAAACGAGCGAATTTTAAAATGTTCAATTATCTAATTAAAATGGATCGAAGTACCTGATGTAGGTATGCATAACCCCGACGCCCAATTCTAAATGTTTGAAAACCTGGTCGAAATCCTCCTTAGCAAGTGTTTCGGAATATTCAAAACCGAAAATACCTTGTTCCATATGTATTAGACGGATGCCGCCCTCAGGCACGTCTGTTGTCCCTACATATGTTTGAAGGCACGACCTAAATTGAGGAACAAATGCTCTTTTTGTCTCGACCTTTTTTTTGGGCACCTTGGAAGTTTCAGGCATGTTTCCCTTGCTGACATGTTGCGACTGCTGATCAAGAACCTAAAAGTCATATATAAGTTCAGTAAATAATTTATAATAAAATAATCACTTAAACTGTAGTACTAGTACCTGTAACTTTGATGCAGCTGAATCGGTATCCCGCACAATAATTTTATCATCTTTTGTTTTGGATTTTGTGGGAGTCTAAGATCATCATGTCAATAAGAAAGTGTAAATGTCAGAATAACTTTCATGTATGGGTAATAAAACATTGGAATATTACAAGGTTCAACCTACCTCATCATCCATGAAAATGAGATTCGTCGGCCATGCTACATAAGCTCCTATCGCGTCTCCCACCACTGTTGCGTCTGATACATCGTCTCGCATAGGCAACAACGCCCCCCCTCTAATGCAATATCAACAGATACTTTCAAAAATCCAGCAGGGAGGGGTTTATGGTGAAGTAAGTCTCCCAGGGTGTTATGCACCTTTCCCTTGCCAACCATGCGATAAGTCGGCGACGATAAATATAGTCGACAAGGTGAAATGCCCTAAACAAATAATGATCAGTTAATGTGTCAATTAAGAAAAATGTGCTAAATTAATTTCAATGTAATATATACAATTACCTCTGGAAGCTTCTGCGGACAACCGATACTATCTTTGTCACTAGTAGCTTTACCGGCCTCTGGAGCGCGCCTTTCGGACATGTATCTCTCCTTATCCTTCTGTAATTCACGAATTTGAGCTTTCATTTCCTCCAAAGTAGCCATCACTTCTTTATTGGTTGGATTTTTTTTCCTTGGCTGCTTATACAGTTTGGATGGAGTGACACCAAATCCCTTGCCCCTCACACGCCCAGAGTACTCAGGAATATTCAACACCCGACTCAATAAACTCCTGCAATCATCGTCTTCAGCAGGAGTTATAGTCTGGGATAGGGACTCCTGAAATATAGATAAAAGCATATTTAAATATTTTATACACTTTGTTCAAACACTTTGTTCAAAAACTAATGTTGTACTTACACATTGTTCAAACACTTGTTGAACTTCTTCTTGGACGGCTCCATCTCTTCCCACCCGGGCAGCCTTCCATACGACATGGTCCGGAAGAGATGTCGCATCACTTTTCTCCTCTTCCAACTACGCATTAAGACGAACAATAAAGCATTATATCCTATTATGTATACTTACTATTTTTTGTAAATAGATCATATTAAAGCATATATATGCACTTACTAATTTTTGTTCTAAGCGTGCATATCCCAAACGCCCCTTTCTATATGGATACGCAGGGTTTGATGCCCGTTCCCGATTTACGCCACTCTTAACCTGAAAAAACAAGTTTAAGTCATATCAGTGGGTTTGTGGAATAGGTATATATACTATACATTGTACATGATAAGTTGTACTTACTTCAAATTCTTTGGTTCTTCGCTTCGCAACAAATGTCTCCCATTCTGCATCCGAAATCAAATCAGCGTACTTCGCTGGACGCTCCGACTCTACAAAGTTGCCATCAGAATCTTTAAGATATTTGTTGGTTAAAAACGCTCTAAATCTCCTCAAGCGTTTTCCGGCCAACTGAATACAATATTTTCTCCTAGAATCCTCAATATTAAAAGATCTCTGCAAACAAATACACATACATATAACATGTTAATATAATTAATTTAAAGATGTAACTGTCAACATAATTAAAAATGATCAAATCTCATACTTGAATCTCGGTCCAAATTTTATCCTTAGCCGCTTTTAATGCAGGAATTCTCCAGTTATCGCAAGTAATCGGAACTTGCGAACGTACAATTGCTCCAATATAACTTGTCAGCAGCGCACCATTAGGCTCAACCAACTGATCTCTTTCATTCCAATGTACATCGTACTTTACACCTCTATCTCTCGCACGGATGATACTTTTCATTATCGTTATGCCTCTTTTAATTTCGCCTTCAACGTCTTTGGGTGTTTCTTTTCCATCATGTGATGTTTCCTCGTTGCTGGCCATAATATACCTGAAATTCAGAATAACAACAACAACAACAAATATCAACAACAATAACAACATCTATATCAAATATAAACCATCTATATAAACCATCTATATAAAATATCTATATCAAATATAAACCAACAATAACAACATAAACCATCTATATAAACCATCAAATAACAATAACAAATATAAACCATCTATACAAACCATCTATATAAACTATCTATATCAAATATAAACCAACAATAACAACATAAACCATCTATATAAACCAACAATATCAAATATCAAATATAAACCATCTATATAAACAATCAAATATAAACCAACAATAACAACATCTATATCAA